TGACTGCAGGGAGCTGAATCGAAGCTGCGTAGGGGCGGAGATGGATGCTTCCAGTACAGTGTGGACACAGCTGGCGCGTATCTATAAATACGAGATCTATAAAAGGGAGATGTTAGGGAAGGCTTCGTGGAGGAGGAGACATTTCAGCAGAACCCGGAAGGGTGTGCACAGGCCTTTGGGTGGCTTGGGGTTGGGGTGCAGGAAGAAGGCTCCAGGCAAAGAGCGAGTGGTCACCAAGGCTCGCAGCTCTGAGGAGCGTGTGTCCCTTGGCGGCCCAGTCCCCCGAGCACTCCCTGATGCAAGCCCTTGCACCAGCCTGGCCCCAGACACTTTCCCAGTGGCACCTTCCTCCCAGGACCCTCTCTCTACCCCACTGCCACCCCGGCCCCACCCTCATGTCCTTTGATGATCTCAAGACTAAGAAACTGCAGCTGGTTTTACACGTTTATAGGGTAAATGCTCTTTTGTTTTACTCCGATTTTCTTGCCACACTTCACACTGGAATGATGGCCTTTCTCGTGTGTGTGTGTGTGTGTGTGTGTGTGTGTGTGTAAAATTTTTACATTTAGAATTAGCCAGCTGGACCCAGTTTAGATGATCCAAGTTTGTTGGCAACACCCAAAGCATCCCAGTTGAGAGCCAGTCGAACAGGACTCTCCTTCTCCCCCATCAGGCCTGATCAAGGTGTTGTTGACCTTGGCCACATCAGCGTCATACAGCTTCTTCACAGCCTGTTTGATCTGGTGCTTGTAGGCCTTGACATCCAGTGAACACAGTGTATTGTGGTCTTCTGTCTTCTTCACGGCTCACTCACTCGTGATGATGGCAGAGCGGTCAAGCTCGTGTCTCCTGGGGGCGCCCTTCGGAGCCGCCGTGTCTTAGGCCTCCGGAACGTGGGTGACGTGCGCATCTTCTTTTTGTGTGTGGCTGTGGATGCCTTTCAGCACTGCTTTCTTTGCCTTCAAAGCCTTTGCCTCAGCTCCAGCTTTGGGAGGGGCAGGGGCTCCCTCCCGCACTTTGAGCGCCATCTTCGTGAACAGGGTTTGGCCTTTTTCCTCTTAAAGGTGAGAGGCATTCTCTAGAAACACCTGAAGGACCCCTTGGAAACCAGCAGCGTAAGCGGCGATTTTCCAAACCCGAGGCGCGCAGCTCTGCGACCTCTCGGAGGTTCGGAGACGTCAGGCACATGTCGGAACGGTGTGCCGCCTGCCGTCTGTGGCAGTTCAGCCTCAGAACCAGGACTGAAGCCCAGCAGCAAGGGGTCAGATCTAGGCCAAGGGTTTTCGCGGGGATGGTGGGGGTCAGGCGAGGAGGCCGTCCCCGTTCTCTAAGAGAAAGCCCTATCTGGGTGCTGCGGGGGCTTCAGTTGCCTATTTATATAACAAAAGGCCTGATGACATTTTTCTTTGTTACTGATTGTTGTAATTTTTCTGTGTTTTTAAATTAGGAAGGAAGTTGATAAAATTGCAAGGCCGTCAAGTACCTGTAGAAATCTTAGTGCTCATTTATTTCTTTTCGTTCTTGGCATAAGTATCACTTTATACATTGTGCTCACGTTCTGCACTGACTTACTCTTCTGATCATGCTGTTAAGTCAGCAATTACTTAACACCTCCTAACCTACCAAGAATTCCACTTAATCCTGAATAACCTTAACTCCACTTTAATACATTCATTTTATAGAAATTTGCCATTACAGAGTGTAAGAAATTGGGATCACAGTGGTTATACTTTAAGTGAGAGCTCTTGTAATTATGTTCTTTGAGATGCCCGGGGGGGTCTTCTGATTCCTGGCACATGGCACACCCCTGTGCGCCATCCCCCCGGTGGACCAGAACCAGCTAGGATGGGGGTGGGGGGCTGGATCTAGCCTGTGCATGAGGTTCCTTCCAAACGTTTCTTGGACCTTTTAAAACTTTTTTGTGGAAAATTTTTTGACCTCTAAAGAAACCTATTTTGGTTGTTCAGGTCCTAAGTAGATGTGCTGTAGACTGTGTGTGTCCCTCCCAAAATTGCTAGGTCACAGCCCTGCTCCCCAGCACGATGGGGTTTGGAGGCGGGGCCTTCGGGAGGGGGTTGGGCCAGAAGGGCGGATTCCCACCAATGGGACTTGTGCCCTTTGAGAAGAGCCGTGGGGGAGGCCGTCTCGCTGCCCCTGTCTCTCGTCCTGTTCAGCAAGAAGGTGGCGCCTGCACCTAGGAAGGGGCCGTCACCAGAAACGAGCGGGCCAGCGGCTCGATCGTGGACTTCCAGCCTCAAAACCTGTGAGAAATGTCATCAGCCGCTTTCACCGCCCAGCCTGTGACAGTTCGTCAGGGCAGCCCAAGCTGACTGAGGCAAGGCGTGTTCGTTCTCATTGCTGCTGTAACACATTACCACAACCTCAGTGGCTGAAAACAGCACCCATTTACTATCCGATAGTTGTGTAGTTCCGAAGTCCAAAGTGGGTCGCCCTGGGCTGAAATCAGGGCATGGGCAGGGCTCCGTTCTTTGCAGGGAGACTCCAGAGGCGAGCCCGCGTCCTGGCCCAGCGTGGCGTGGGGAGGCCGCCCTCCCTCCTTGCGCCCTTCCTCTGTCTTCCAGCCAGCAGGGTGGGGTTGAGCTCCCCTCCCATGCCACCCTGTGACTCTCTGCCACCAGGAAGGACCCTCGTGGTGACACAGGGCCCGCCTGCTTGCAGAGTCCAGGGTCTCTCCTGCTCTGAGGCCAGCTGATGCTCAGCCTTACTCCATCAGTCGCGATGAGTGCCCTTTCACCACGTGACACAGAATACTCTCAGGTGAAGGGGTGGGGCCCTGGACACCTGGGGGCGGGCGGCACTGCTCTGCCTGCCGCAGCGGGGTCTTCCTCTGGGGATGTGCGGCACCCACTGGTCCACCCCCGAGGGTCCGCTTTGCACCAGGAACTGCGCCTGGCAAGCTCCAAGGACAGAGGGGGCCCTTTGCCCTCCGGGAGCTTGTGGTCTGGTGAGGGGGAGCCGGCCCCTCACAAGGCACGTCGCCTCGAAGAAACAGGTGCTAACGTGGGTGCACGTGTGTGAGTGGGCCTGGCCGTGCCTGGGCGTGGGGAGGGCGTGGGGAGGAAAAGAGGCTCTGGAAGGAGGAGGAGGACCCGGCAGTGGAGAACAGCGGACAGGGCGCCCCAGTGAGGGGGAGCCACGTGGGCGGGCGCAGTGGAAGCCCTGGGACACGGACTTGGGGGTGTGGTGGGTCCGAGTTCACACAGACGTCTGCAGCTGACCTGAGCGGGGCCTGGCGTGCTGTGTTTGGAGTTTGGACTTGACCCCCTTGGTTAGGCCCAGAGGTAGCGCTCTGGCGGCTTTTTGGCAGATCAGCCTGCAGAACTGCTCACTTTGGCTGCGGTTTACGTTGAAACCAGAGCTCACCATGCCAAAGGTCCTCACCTGTCCACTTCCATTGCTTTACTTGTTTATGTCATTTACCTGGCCCTTCGTGGCCAGGGGTATTAAGCAAGGGGATGGAAACCATGGGAAGTTTCAAAATAGAGTAATTTGGTCAAATTTATAGGGGATGCAGTAAACACTTTGCTTGTACATCTCTTAAATTTTTTCCCAACAGTCTGAAAAGTCAGATTTTACACTCAGTTCTGGAGGAAAACAGGCGCGGGGTATGGGTGCTCAGCTGTGGTCTGGAGCTGGAAAATGTGCCGAGTGTGGGCTCAGACTGTCCTGCGTGTGAGTCCAGGCCACATGTACTGAGGCGTCACGGGGACGAGCCACGGAGCCCTGTGAGGGCCCTCCCCCCAGAGCGCTGAGGCTGGGCCGCCCAGGGCTGCTGGGTGCAGGTGCCGTGGTGGACGGGCCCCTGGCTAGCCGATGGGGCGTGGGGCAGACTCGGCCATCGTCATCTGGTAAATAAATGAGGACTGTGACAACACGGAGCTTTCTCTTTGATTCCTGCCCTGCAAAGGCCTGAGGACGCTTCTCCTAACTGCACCTGGAATTGGCCTTGAGTCTGTTACGAAATTTCACCCAACCCCTCCTGACCTGCCTCCAGACAGCCGCTGTGTGTCTCTTGTGAAATTACCATTTTTGTGTTCAGACATGTGCTTACTCCCAAATACTCACCCCTCCTGTGCCTTGAGTGTGTCTGGGCCCCTCCCAGTGTGGCTTACAGCCCCCTGACAAGCACACGGGAAGAGAAGTTAAGGCCGAGGGTGGGCGGGGTGTAATGGAGTGCCGGTGGGTGGTGTGCACAAGTGCTTTCAAGTGCAGAGCAAAGGGAAGATTAGCCAGGGTTGGCCTTGACAGCAAACCTCAGTGGAAAAGACGGGAGCTGAGCAGGCCTTTCAGGCCGGGCTGCGTGGTTCTACAGGAAGTACAGACAGCGCGGGGGGGGGGGGGGGGGGGGGCGGGGGGACTAGCCCATCATTCTCTCCTTCTGGAAACACTTCCATCCCTGTCACCTGCCCCTCGCTGCCTCCCTTTATTCTGCTTGTTTCCTCGTTCACAACTCCGTGCACCGCACTGAACACACGGCAGGTGCTTCAGGGTCGGCGCTTACGGTGCTAGAAGTCGGCCAGCACACATCGAAGCCTCGCGTGTGTCCGTTCCTTTTTTCCACCCGTGGACGTGGGCCTGAGGCATGGTGGGGATTTGCCGTGCGGGGTGAACAGTGGCCCCTGAACCCGCAGCTCTGCGGCTCTGCACGGCCCTGCCCGCACAGGGGAAGCTCCGGCCCGTTGCCTGCTGCATTGGTGCCGGACGTACCACACTTCGTGGGATCTCGGAGATCCCTGGGGGTCCGTGCTCCAGACCGTCGTAGAGCACAGCAGTCACAGGAAGGGCGAGCCTCTGGAAGGGACCGAGGCCCAGGGATAAGGGCGACTTTGGCGAAGTGGCCGTACGAGAGTCTAAAACCTAAGGTGTCCAGTTTGTAGTTTCAAGATCTTTGCACCCTGCATCCCATCCTTCGTTAACTTAAATTTACTCCATGTGGTGGTAACATTTATCTATGTAAATTCTCTTTCTTTTACTTTTAGATTTCGCACATCGGCAAACTGAGGGATTTTCTTCTGGAACACAGGAAAGATTATATTAATGCTTATAGGTAAGTACAGATTTCTTACCATGACTTTGCTGACTGTTCTTTTCCATACCTATATTGCATTTTTTAAAAACATATTTTATCTGCCCTGGCTGCTGTAGCTCAGTGGATTGAGCGTGGGCTTGTGAACCAAAGGATCGAGGTTCGATTCCCAGTCAGGGCACATGCCTGGGTTGCAGGCCAGTTCCCAGCAGGGGATGGAGAAGAGGCAACCATACATTGATGTCTCTCTCCCTCTTTCCTTCCCTTCCCTCTAAAGATAAATAAATAAAATCTTTTAAAAAAATGTGTGTGTGTGTGTGTGTGTGTATATATATATATATTAACCTACTTACTTTTAGAGAGAGAAAGGAGGGAGAAAGAGAGGGAGAGAAATGTCGATGTGAGAAACATCAGTTGGTGGCTTCTCAGACGTACCCCGACTGGGGGCTGAACTCACAGCCCAGGCATGTGCCTGGACCAGGAATCGAACCAGTGACCTTTCACTCTGTGGGATGATGTCCAACCAGCTGAGCCGCACCAGTCAGGGGCACGCCTACATCCTCATCTTTTGCTCTTTAGCTCTCAGAGTGGAAGTAGGAAGATCAGTTTGCAGTGGTGCCCACAGAGCACGGGGGCCCTGCCCTCGTCGGGGGGCGGTGCTCTGCCAGACCCCCATCTCTGAGTCATGATCACCCTCAGCAGTGTCTCCTGTCTTCATGCCCACACACGGTGGCAGCTCTGGAGGCTGTGGACAGCGGAGGCGAGTGAGACAGAGCGCCTCACATTCATGAAGCAGCGAAGGGATGGTGCAGGACACACGACAGAGGCCTTGGGGAGCTGAGCCCCCGTCCCCAGGGGGGCCGTGCTCAGGTGGATTTTAAAGAGAGAGAAAGCACTTCGACTGAGGCTTCCAGAACGGTTTCCCACCCCAGCTCCCACCAGACAGGGAAACTGCAGGGCGGATCTCCCGTCCGCTGCTGCGCCCGCCTCCCGTCGCACCTCGGGTCGTGGTCGCGTGTTCTGTGAACTCGCAGGGAAGGCGGGCGGACCTGGGACGTGACGTCAGCTTTCCTCTTCGGGAGGCAACGGTATTTGCACTGCGGAGCCCTTCCTCTCACGAAGCTGGAAAATAGGAAGGAGACCTGGTGTTTTTCAAACACCTCACCAGTGTGTACAAAATGAAACCATTCTGTATAAACTCTTTAACAGGGAAAATAGTTACACCTCAGGTGAACTTTAAATAATCCCTGCCACTTTGTCTACTGAAACAAGTAGGCAGACTTATACATCTAAATGTATTGCATTTGTATGATTTAAAGATACACTAAAATTATTATTCTAGCGCATAGTAGCAGAAATTACTCTGATGCGTGGCGCCGAGAAGTCCTTATTTTTCAGGCTGTTACTTGGAAGAGTCAGTCAGCACTAGATGGCAGTGTGAACTGCATTTCTAAACGTTTGTCTGTGTATGAGGGCTGATTTCAGGTCCGTAGGAATGGGAGTCGCTCTGGAAAACTGCAGCGCGCCGGCTCCACCCGCGGTCTCCGGCCCCTGAGTTCAGCCCCTGACAACACTGGTTCCGGGTGGTGGCGGAGCCCTTCTGTGGGCCTGCACTGTCCGTGTCCCTCCACCTCGGGGGGGGCGTCCCGCTGGGTGGAGGCTTTAACGTCACCTCGGCTCCAGCCGACTGCCCACCTTGTTTGATCCGGGAAGCCCAGTGTCCCCTCCAAACCTGGTCCCCTCCAGACCAGGCTCCCGCTTCCCGCGGCCTGTGTCTGTGCAGCCTGCGCACTAAGAACAGCTTTGCACTTTTAAATGACGAGGAAATAATGATGTTTCACCGCGTGTGAAAATCATACGAAACTCAGAGTTCAGTGTCGGCCAATACAGGTGACTGGAGCAGCACCGTGTCCATTCACGGTGACTTCCTGTGGCTGCCTCGGCGCTACAACAGCAGAGGTGAGTGGCTGTGGCAGGCCGCATGGCCCGCAGTGTCGCGTGCTTATACACTGTGCGCATTTGTGGAGCCCTGCTCGAGGTGATTGGGGTAATAATTCACTTGCCAGCCAGTGGGGAGATTCAGGTAAGACAGTAATTGGAGTTGAGCCCTGACTGGTGTGGCTCAGTGGACTGAGAGCCAGCCTGCGAACCAAAGGGTCGCCAGTTTGATTCCCAGTCAGGGCACGTGCCCGGGTTGTGGGCCAGGTCCCCAGTAGCGGGTCTGCATGAGAGGCAACCCCACGTTGATGTTTCTCTCCCTCTCTTTCTTTCTCCCTTCCCCTCTCTAAAAAATAAATAAAATCTTTTAAAAAGTGACAGCAGGGGTTGAGTGCAGTGTAGAAAGGAAAAGCACCGACTGATAAAAAAAGACCGCCGTGTCAGGGTGTTGCTCTGAACCTCTGATTGTAACAGAGTCACCGGGCGGTTCTGGGACGGCGCAGCTCAGCCCCCTCGGCCCCAGTGTCCGCAGACCGCCACAGCCGCCTCCCTCCCTGGCCTCTCCCTCTGCCAGCGTCGACGGCAGCTGTGCTGGGCCTGAGGACCAGGGTTCCCGGGGCCAGGCCTGCTCTGCCCTTTGCTGGCCGTGTGGCTGGAGTGTTGGGTGGAGCTGTAGCTCCTGAGGCTTTCCTAGTCTTGACCAGCCTGTCCTCCCTTTCCCGGCCAGCTAGTGTCCTCTGAGTTCCGTTCCAGCCCCGCTTTTGGTCCTTCTGAAAGAGCAGGGGCGCTGGGGCCCTCGCACCTGAGAGCCAACATCGGCCCCACCAAGTGTTGATCAGGTGGGTACACACAGCTCACTGCACGGCCTGGGGCTGTTGGCTGGTTTGCAAAATGTGGACCCTGTTCTTAAGAAACGTGAGGGCTCTTGGGACACATGAGCCCCTTGGTGAATGGTAATTGAATTGGAATGCCCTTTGACCCATGATGCAGTTGGGGTGGTCATTTAAGAAAGAAAGCACCTCTGTTTCCTGCCAGAGGGGGGTGGGAGGGAGAGCAGGAGAGAAGGCGGATGCGGGAGGCGGGTCTTCGTGATTGGGACGGAGGTGCTGTCAGTTTCACCCCCAGCAAAATCTCGGGTGCCGGCAGCAGGTGGCCCTGCTGAGGGATGGCTCCTGAATTATGTGGTCTGACTGGGCCGTGGGGGCCCCTGAGCAGTCCCAGCTCCTGGGGCAGGCAGCGGGGGCGGGTCCCTGTAGAGCCGTGAGAGAGGGGCACGGAGCAGACCTCTGCTGTCCGAGCAGCGGACCCTGAAGGGCGAGGCGGGGCGAGGAGCTGTGGCCGGCACGTCCTTGTTCTGCCCAATCCCTCTGCCCCCCCAGGGAGGTGACTGGTGCAGAAACTGCACAGGGACTAGGGAAGAAGCATTGCCCTCCGTGCCTACAGCCTCTTCAGAGGGAGGAAGGCCGACCCTCTCTGGTCCCAGTGCGTCCTGCCCAGAGCTCTGGACTTGGGAAAGCCTCCCTCGTACACGTGTGTACACACACACACACACACCCCCCGCAGCGCCGTGCTGGCCATGACCTGCTCCCCGCAGCAGTCTGGGTGGAGTGTGACGGCGGGGTTGAAAGGACATGTTGAGAAATACAGCCGCCAGACCCGTGAGGCTGTGCGAGTTTGACATAAGTAGGAAGCTGTGATTTTCTTCCGTGGCCTAGAGCTCAGGCTTTACTGGCCCATTTAATTCTGTTTCTAACGGCATTTTCCTGGAGCAGAGCAGCAGCCTCGCAGCCAGGGCCTCTGGACTGAAAACCGGCTGCTCCCCTTCTGGTAGATGGACCGTCTCTGCAACATCCTCGCAACAAGACTTTCTTGGTTTCTGTTGTTACTAACAGAATCACCACCCTGTTCATTTCCAGTTTAAAAGGCTAAAGTGTAATATGTCCCAAGGGAGCGTCACTTTGTAATTGTGTGATCCGTTTTCTCATATTAACCTTTAGGCCTGTTCCATCTCGCGGAGCTGAGGCTCCGCCGAATCTGAGTGTCTCGTAGGGAGATGCTACTCTCATGCGCTTGGAGTTAGTCGGGTGCAGAACTTTCCTACTTGCCCTTGGCCCTGTCAGCCTTCATCCGTGGGATGGTTCCCATCCGGGAGCAGCTCGGCTCCGGCCCCTCTGCTCACCACTCTCCCCCTCCCACAGTGAGGCCTGGGGGTGGGGGCGGGGCAGGTCTGACCTGCTTACTCAGCCCTGCATTCTGTTCGGGTCACCTTGTGAAGCTGAATTATTTTAAGAAAACAAGATGGGGCGGTATTGGGACAGGGAAATACGTCTCCCTTACTCTTCGAGGTTTCAAGGACCGTCTCCCCAGGAACCCGTGGGTGGTCTTCCTTCCACCTCTCTGAGTGGGGCTGCGCAGTGGGGAGGGACCTCAGCAAACCAGGAGACCCAGGTGATGGACGCGCCCGAGAAGAGCCTCAGGCTCAGCCCCTCCCTTTCTCTTCAGGAGGGACGGATTCCCTGCCCTTGTGTGCTCAGGAAGGGGGCAGCCTGCAAGTCTCGGGGTGGGGTCAGCTCAGTGGGGGAGGGGCCTGTAGCTGAACAGCAAGTCTGTTCTCGAGGTCAGCCACACACATTGAGTTGGGTGGTTCAACAAGTATTTGGTTATTGATTTATTGATTTATCAGCCTACTCAATGCTAGCAGCGCTCTTGATGATGGGGATACAGCAGTGAACAGACAGACAGAAGTCCTTGCTTCTGTGGAGCTTAAACTTTGCAGGGAAGACAGGCAGGAAGGAAAACCCATGGAATGCTAGAGCAGGTAGGTGTTTTGGGGGGTCGGGAACAAGGGAACAGGAATAGGAAATACAGAGGAGGGTACAATTTTATGAAAGGTCCAGGGAAGGCCTCATTTGGTGGGGAGACTGAGTGTAGTGGAGGTTGGGGGAGGGACACTCCAGGAGGAGCAGCCAGCCAGGGCCAAAGCCCTGAGGTGGGGGGTGCCCAGAGGGCCAGGCCACAGTGAGGAGGCGGGTGTGGCTGTCGCAGGAGGGATGGGGGTCGGCGATGAGGCTCCTGTGAGGACCTTGGCTTTGACCCTGGCGGGAAGCCCTGGGAGGGGTGATGGGGCCTGATCAGGAGGCTAGAGTGTCGGCCCAGACAGAGGAGGGCGAGGCAGCTGCTGTTACAGGCCCGGTGAGAGATCAGTGGGCGGGCTGGGAGGAGCAGTGGATGTGCGAGCAAGAGGTCAGGTCCTGGAAAGACTCTGAAGGTAGGGCCAGCAAGATTTGTGGGTGGCTTAGTCGTGAGCTGGGAGTGGAAAAGAAGGCAAGGACGACCCCAGGTTCGGGCCCAGCAGCTGGAGGATCAGCCCTCCTGCAGGCACGGGTGGGGGCAGCTGCACTGAGCCGTGGGAGGGGAGCAGGCAGGAGCTCACTTTGGGCAGATTGGAAACACAAGTATCTGAATAGAGCTGTTGAACAGGTAGTTAGACACACATGCCTCAAGTTCAAGGAGAGGTCCGGGCTAAATATATAAAATTGGGACCTGTCAGCCTACAGCTGGTATTTAAAGCCATGAGACTAGACGGATTCACTAGGGGAGCCATGTAGATAGATAGCAGAGACTCGGGGACCAAGCCATGAACTTCCATCACTACATGCTCAGAGATCTAAGACGCGTCAGTCGGAGAGTTGGGGGGAAGCAGGAGGAAGCAGTCAGCTACATCCAATCCGCCTCAAGTGCCTGGGGCAGGGCTGAGCCAATGCGGGGTCAGCGGTGACCTTGGGGAGCCAGGACGGCAGCAATGAGGATACAAGCCTATTTGGATTGGGTTTGGGAGAGAATGGTCAGGAAAACGGAGACCTGGGCGTCTCAGAGAGGTTTTACTCAGAAGAGGGGAGAAATTGGGCAGTAGCTGGTGGGAGACATTGGAATTGAGAGGTTTTGTTTGGTTTTGTTTTTTAAGTTGGAAGGGATGACACCATGTTTTACGCAGCTAGGAAAGACCCAGTGGACAGGAAAAAGGTGGCATTATTAGTAACCAATAGACGTAGTGTCCACAGCCAGACCCTGTCCAGACTCCGTGTGCACTTGTTAACACCTTTGAGGCTGATGGTGCAGGAGAGAGGAACGGGGGCGCTGGGCTGGCCTTGGGCCTGGAGCGGTGGGCGTAGCTGAGAGGTGGGCGCTTCCACAGCAGCTGGAGGGAGGGCACTGTGGGTGGGCCCCCAGGGAGAGCCACGGGGCGGGCGCTGTGGAAGCAGAGGTCTCTCCGACAACAGAGGGGTGGGAGGTTTCAGAAGTGGGGAGAAGGACAGGAAATGGCCACCGGGGAGAGTGGGAGAGCAGCGCCCGGGGCAGGAGCGGACCCCCCAACGTGAGAAAGCGAACGTCAGCCTGTCTGTCCGCTTCCCGCTGGATCCTCAACGCGGCTGAGCAGTGAGCTCTCAGCTCTCGGTTCTCTCTCCCCCGCCGCCGGCCCCGTCTCTGCCTGTCCCTCCGAATGTCCCCTCTCGTCACTTCCTGCTGCGGCCTGCTTCGGGAGCCAGGCTTCTGTGCCCTCAGAGATGAGCACACGAGGGCGGTTGAACAGCACCCACGTGACCGCGTGCATTCCGAGTGCCCCCACGTGAAAGCAGTCTGTCACTGCAGTTTGTGGACCGTGCCAGGCTGGCCCTCCCCTCATCGGGCCGTGGTGAGTGGTCTCGCCCTGGCCTCGGCTCTGCAGCCATTGCCACGTGTGTCCCAGGGCCTTCCCCCCACCCCCAACCCGGAATGGATTCTGGAACCTGAGGAGGCCGTTCCTTATCACTGGAAGCCCTGACAGTTTCTGTGGGGTTTTAGCACACGGTGGTTAGAGGACCATTGCCCTGTTTCCCTTTGAAACGCAGTGTCAGTCATGGAGCCTTTGGTCTCAAGAGCATCACCTTTCTCCTTCCAAGCTGCATCAGAGGACACGTGTTAACAGTGGCTTCTGTCCTGCTCCTGGCTCATTCCTCCCTTCTCTTCCTTCCGTGTTCCTGGTTTCCCTCAGTGCCTTGCACGCCCGGGCCCAGGTCGCTGGGTCCGATGATGCTTTACTTCCAACATCTGTTCTGCTCCCGAGGCTGCATCTCAGAGTCCTCCCTCCGCCTGACTCACTCTCCGCCTTGCCCCTTTCTGTCACCTGGGGCTGGGGTGCCGAGACGAGGAGGGCAGGGTTCTCTGCCTCGTTTCAGTCACTGTTGCCTGGCCTCCCTCCTCTTCCCACCTAGCCTGGTATCGCCACATGTATCTTCTCCAGCTCAGCCCTGTCATCGGCTACAGAGTGGAACACTGCGACCAGCGCCCATCTCTTCTCCTGTCTGAGCTCCAGCTGACCCGAGCGGCCTCCTGTTCTCCTGACAGGCTCCCTGCCACCCTGGTGCCTCTCCGGGACTCACTCCGAGTGTCTGCTCTTGTCTCCCCTCGGCCGTGCCCTGTGTCCCCACGGCTGTGCACGGCCTGGGGGCGGTCAGGAGTAGGGGCTCCGGAGCCAGGAGCCCGGTTCAAACCCCAGCTCTGCTAACCACTAGCTGCGTGACCGTGGCCAGTCCCTTCGTCTCTGGGCCGCAGTTGCCCCGTGTGTGAGATGGGAAGTACAGCGCCCCACGCTTCTCCTCACTCATCTCCTGTCGGTCCACGTTACCTGGGAGACACCTCTCCCACTGACGCGGCCGCAGCCCAGGCGCTCTGCGCGTTCTCCTGGACGCTGCAGCAGCCTCTTACCCGCAGTCGCCTGCGGTCTGGACCCCGTCCCAGGCGGAGACCACAGAGGCCAGTGCAGATCCAGACCCGCCCGTCTCCCCGACTCTGTGCCTCGAGGACTCCTTCCCGGGAGACGGCGGGGAGTCTGCATGTTGTGGGATGGAGGCCACTGCAGACCCCGTTCCAGTTTTACGTGAGCGTGCGCTCGTCCGCCGTTAACACCGTGAGCGCGTGCCTTTGAAAAGCCGTGCAGGCGTCCGCCAGCCCCTGGAGCGTCTGAGACACGGCACGCGTGGAGCACTGTCCCTCGGGGCGTCCCAGGGGATCCGGGGACCTGCTCAGGTGTGTCCTCGTGGGGTCCCCATGTCACGCGGTCCTTCCAGCCACCACCCAGGGTAGGGGTTTCTGGAGTGTCTTCCCCTCTGCCCGCCTGGCACCCGTTCTGCGTGGGTCGACCGCTCCCCCTGGGGTCCCACCTCCCATTTAGGGTCAGTCTCCCCTGTCGTACGGCACACTCTGTGGGGGCAGAAGTGAGCCTTGCTCAGCTGTGAACCCCCAACCCCTGCCACAGCACCGGACGTGTGGAGGGGGGTGTGCGTAATCGAGTCTGTGAATGAACCGCGGGGGCCAGTTACGTAGACACGTGTGTGAAAGGCATCGGGAATGGTGGCTGGTAAACACAAGGCGCCCGGCTCATGCCGGCACGCCTGCTTTGTGCCGGACACAGCACAGTCCTAGGTGTTAGAGACAGATGTGGGCGAGACCAAGCCCCTGCTTCACGTGGCTGCGCCCTTATCGGAGGAGATAGACGTCCGTGTGCAGGTTCAGGGAGTAACAAGTGCCCTAAAGAAGGCAGGCGGGTGAGGCCTAGATGTCGAGTGGGGCCTAGATGTCGAGTGGCAGTGTGCCTGGGAGAGCCCCTGCCCCAACGCAGCGTGGAGGAGGAGGGCGACCGCGGAGCTCGGAGATGGGGGCATACTCCCTGGCTCAGGGCGGAAACCCGTGGCAGTGGGGGCTGGGGGCTGAGCAGGGGCTGGCCAGGCAAGCTGGCTCTGAGCCAGCAGGCCCTCAGAGCGGAGATCTGCAGGGAGAGTATTACGGGCTGGGCAGCAGGAGGCCAGTGTGGCTGGAGCCCAGTGAGTAAAGGCCTGCGCCCAGAAGTAAGGTCCCAGGTTGGGGTGGAGGCTGTCAGGGCTTGGTGTTTCATTCTTGGTGGGGGTGGGGGCAGGTGGAAATGGAATGACTTGACTCTGTGCATTATGAGTTCTCTTCGACTTGATACTGGATGGTTGTGAGTTCCAGCTGTAATGTCCAGAGTGTTTAATTAGGCAGCTAGAGTTACAAATAGTGAATTCGCCACACTTTCCCCGGAACCTGTGAGGATGAGCAGGGTAACGAAACTCACGTTGGAGCTCCATGTGCTCACCACTGAAAGGGACGCCTTTGCTAGCCCACCGGCTTGAGGGGCTTCAATGGAGTGTCAGGGAGGTGAGCTGCGAGGTGAGCATTTCTGAAGCTCCTTTCCTGGGCGTTCTGCAGGCTCGCTGTGAGTTGGGAAGACGGCCGGTCCGTGCGGGAAAGAGTGGCAGCCTGAAACAGGTGCTCACACCCTGCTCAGGAGCCTGCAGGCATGTCCACGCCCCCCTCCACATGGCACCCTGCTGCAGGCCACTTCTGCCACTGCGCCTCGTGGAAGCGTGTGTGCGGTGGCCGCCCCGGGTCCTCCATCCGAGCTCGCCGGTTCCACCCGTGTCGACCTCGCCCTCCCTGCACTGGGCCACTCGCCCTGGTCTCTGGGGGGACTCTTTCTGCCTGCCAGCCTTCCGAGCATCGGTCCCACCGTCCAGGTCCCTCCCTCCACACCCCTCCCTCCACGCCCTGCAGGTCTCAGCAGTGTCACTTCAGCAGGGACGCTTTCCTTCCCTTCACACACACCCCATGCAGACGACACGACGTGTTCATTCGCCGCTGCCCTTTCGTTCTGCCCCTCACCTCTCCTCTCTCTCTCTCTCTTTCTCTCTCAGCCATATCATGTCTGACCACGGGAGGATGACAGATACAGAACGGGACCAGATCGACCAGGACGCGCAGACCTTCATGAGGACGTGCTCAGAAGCCATTCAGCAGCTGAGGACTCAGGGTGAGGTGTTGGGAGAGACGCGCAGACAGCCGCGACTCTGGCGGCACAGCCAGCTGGGGTTTCCTCTCGGGTCCCTGTGTGGATCCGGGTTTTAAACCTTTAAAGTCTCTCTTCTCCCGGTCAGGGTTTTAACCTGAGCTGCTAACCGTATGCAGAGGCTGTAATTCCAGATAAGTGCGCGGGAGGAGGAGGGGAGCAGGAAAAGGCCTCTCCAGACAGGACCAAAAATTGACTGCGGGGCCAGGGTCACAGGAGGCCGGTGTGTGGGTGTGCGTGCCTGGGCTCTGTGTGGCGTCCCCTCGGTCACGCGGACGGCGACGAGTGAGTGCAGTCCACGCCTTGTCCTCAGGCTCTGGGGTGAATGCCAGGCCCGGGCTCTCGAGGTTCGGAGGAAGGCTCCAGAGCCTCCCACTGCACGGGGTCCAGGCCACGTGGCCTTGGACCAGTCGCCCGATGGCACCGGCCTCCCTGGAGCAGGAGACGGTCACAGGGCACACCTCGCAGGGCTGCTGTGAGCAGCGAATCCTCACAGCGCACCCAGGACCCTGGCAGGCGCTCCTCGGGTTGTGTCCTCTCACTGTCACCCGTGTGTGAGGCTGACTGAGGCTCCGAGGTGGCTTCCCAGGTCACCTGTCTTCCTCAGTTCTGTTTTCATTTGCTCAGGCAGATACAGAATGCATTCAGTAGCGTAGAGTTCAAAGTGACCAAGGGCTGCTGTGCCCTTGACACAGACTTTCATTTGGGGAGCTTCCATTAGAGCCCTGGAGCGTCTGATGAAAGGCCAGTGTCACGGCCGCCGAGTCCCCCACTTGCCCCCAGGTGAAGGGCATAATAAACCATGCCCTCACCCTTAGGGGTCGGCACTGCCAGGTCCTGGAAAATCCACACCACCATTAACCAAACCGGGGTTAGTGCCAGCGCTGGCAACCTGGGGCCCCTGTTGCTGCAGAACCTTCATTTCCTCGTGTGTGAACCCAGCACAGTCGTAATAGTCCTTTGGTTTGTTTGGATTATCAACAGTGACGTATTATACTGGCAGCCTGCACATAGTAGGTGTTCAGCCACTTCATTAGTGGGAGCTGCCCTAGCAAGTAAATGGTGCAGACTGTAAGAAGATGTGGCAGTGTGCAGAAGAAAGGCGACCCTGTGGGTGGGAGTCTGAGGAGGTCCCCCCCTCAGCTGCGGGATGTGGGATGGGCGTGTCCGAGGGGGGAGGGCGGGGCCTCCCGACCCAGCAATGCACGGCTCAGAGCCTGCGAGTGTGATTTCAGTATGTTACTGGGGGTCAGCGGGGCCCTGGGCGCTGCTCGCACAAAGGGGTCAGCTCTCAGGAAGTGGGTGCTTTACAAACCGTGAAGCACGAGACTGCAGTTTTTCTGCAGGTTTAATCTCTCACTCCTGTATGGCCTGGTAAGTCCTCCTCTTCAAAAAGCCCCGCGTCACCCGACCCCACACCGTCTCAGAGCTGTGTTGTAAAGACTGCTTTGAACGAAGCAGCCGCTGACCGCTCCTCCGGCACGGCCCAACGTGGTGACCCGAGTGTCGTCTTTCCTTGCAGCCCACAAGGAGCTCCACTCCCCGCAAGTGAAGGAGCACCGGGGCGCCGTGGTGGACTTCGTGGAGGACTACTTGAAAAGTACTGCATCCTAGCGTAGCGGCCAGCGCGGCATTCACACGGGCCGGGGCGCACGGTTTAGCTCTGCCAGCTGAGGACCGTGCTGTCTCGTATTTAATGGTCCCGTTGCTTGAGAAGCGGTTTTAAATGGTCTGTTTTCTGGTGTTTTCCCTGCAACAGGAGTGTGCAAACTTTACTCGGAACAAAGAGCCATCCGCGTGAAACGAGTGGTGGATAAGAAAAGACTGTAAGTATTGTCTGTCGGGTTCCTTAACTAATCCCAGTGACAATGATGACGATGACGGTGACAGCACAGGTCCCCTGGTGCTGTGCTGAGGCTTCCGCACAGAACGCCGCTCGTTGGGCTCCTCCGTGCACCAGGCCCCGTGTGGGCCTTCCTAGCTCGCAGCCACCCCTGACCCCTCACCACCCAGGTCACCTGTTACCCTCGTTGTATAGGCGGGAGGCTGCGGCTTGGAACTTAGGGAACTCACCCAAAGGTCCCACCGCCAGTCGATGGCAGAGAGGGGATTTGAACCCAGGCCCTTGGCCAAAACCTATGCTCTTTCCCATCTGGTTGTCCTAGTGACCCTTGCGGCTGGCGCAGTTTCAGCCGTTTTGTCTGGGCCTCTCTGACCCCACGGCCTCCTGCTGTCTCTGGACAGCAGGTGTGCTCCTGAGGTGGGAGTGGAGGGCAGCCGGCCGTGCCGCTGCCGGGCCTCCCTTGGGCATCTGTGCCCACCTGCCTGCACCCCAGCTCTGGCCCCACATGGTGGGGGAGGGTGCACGGACGCTCCGCAGGTCTCAGTGGTCAGGACGCAGCCGAGCCGGACCACGGCGCCTGTTGGCTCGGCCGTCCCCCCCCCCCCATCTCCCGGGCTGTGCGCCGGGCTGTGCGCCGGGCTGTGCGCCGGCCCCTAGACCCAAGAACGGGCCCTCACAGCCCTCGGCCAGCATGGGTTGGTGCTGATGAACGTGGAGTGCTGGGTCCGGGCCGGCTCTGGCCGCCTGTGAGTTTGGGAAGGCTGTGTAGCCCGTTTTTTCAGAAGATAATACCAGTGCAACATCTTTGGGGACAAGTTTCTGATTTCTTGTTGTGTCGGGGTCCCAACGCCACCTCAAGTTTGGGGGTTAGCTGGGAGGATGCAGAGGACGCAGCATAGGCCCGTGCACGGCTGTGATTCGTCACCATGCAGGGTGCAGAGCCGATGGCTGTGGGTGGCACACGGGCGAGCACGAGGCAACCAGGAGCTCGCCTCCGGGGTCCTTGCCCGTGCAGTCACACAGCGTGTGGCCTGTGACAACTCTCGTGTGAAGTACTGTCCCCCGGGGAAGCTCATTAGAGACTCACTGCTCAGGTTTTACTGGAGGCTGGTCAGGTAGGACCTGCTACCTGGCAGGTATGAAAACTCCAGGCCCCAGAAGGAAAGCCATGTTGTCTGCACCTCAGTGCACCCCAGTCAACCACTCGTATCGGCTGGGTGGTGGGAGCCACGTCCGGGTTCCCAGACCCCAGCCCAGGGCTGCGCTTGCAAGGGGGCCTTGCCAAGGAGAGTAGTCCCAGGCCGGCGGTTTCAGCTGCCTCCTGTGCCCCAGTGAGACGGGTCGGGAGCTGCCGGTGCCAGTAGAAGCGCTGGTGGGAGGGGGCGCGGAGAGGAGCCCAGTTGCCCGTCAGCACGTGTACCGTTTATGACGCGAGGCCCTGGAGCACAGCCTCTGCCCCCACGGAGCTTAGAGTCAGCCTGGGCGGTTCTAGGGACGCAGAAACTGGCCGACTTAACCGGCACACATCATCAGCAGTGGGGCCAGCACCCAGTTCAGGGGGCGTGGAATGATCGAGAAGCATAGCCTGGAGCCCAAGAGCCCAGACTGGCGGCCAGATGGCCTGGATTCAAGCCCTGGCAGTGCCACCTGTGGGCTGTGCAGCTTTGGGGAGATTGCTTAGTCACTGTCACTGTGCAAGTAAGAGTCTGCTGCACAAACAGTGAGTGGGCGCAGGTGACAGCACTCGTGTGGCAGTTACTGCAGGTCGGCGTGTAGCAGCACCCGCCGCTGGGCACGTGCCGTGTGCAGGCAGTGTGTTCACTCAGTCTCCTCGACCTGCACAGCCCTCTGTTGGTACACACTGGTGTCCCGCGGAAATGGAGGCTCAGCCAGCCTGGGTTACTGGCCCAGCATCACACAGCTGGGCTCAGATCTGAACGTCAGGGCCACCGGGGCAGGTTTTCTGAACGGTGGGCTTGGGATCCAAGACAGCAGTATCTGGGCAGCGAGCAGAGGAGGCCAGCCGTGCGGCAGAGGCTTGGGGCCAGTCCTGGAGAAGGTGAGCCTGTGGCGGTGTGTGATTTACTGTCTGGCCACTGGGTCTCACCCCCGCCCCCAGGGCGAGGGGCGTCTCTGCGTCCTCGTCCCGGGCGGGCCCTGGTGCTGGAGACGTAGCAAGTTCCCCGAGTTAGGCAGAGGTTTGCCCGCTGCCTCCTCAGCGCCTGGGCCTCAGCAGAGGTTCTCACGAACTGAAACGGGTCAGGTGGGAGTTGCCTCGTGTAGACAGTGAGCTGCAGCTTCTGCCGAAGAGCCACCCCGCGCCAGCTACTTCCAGCACGAGACCCTGAGCGAGAACCGTGTGACCCCTCACGATGTGGCCCCCGTCCCTCCCCGTCCGCTCCTCCCCTCACCCCAGAACGCCCGCCAGCCCGTGCACGCGGTGTCGGACCCTCTGCTCCCACGTCCCACAGAGCTCAACTCCGCAGCCTGGGCTTGGAGGCCCGCAGCGACCGGGTCGTGGCCTCCGTTTCCGAGTCAGTCCCCTCGGGCTGTGCCCGCCGCCCTCGAGTGCTCGGCGCTCAGACGAGGCCTGTTCTCTGAAGCTCGTGTGCCGCTGTCCTCGCCAGTTCTCTGCCCAGAGTGCCCTTCGCCTGCTTACGGTCCCTGCCCCTGCCCCCTGTGCCTCTGGCAGGCAAGCTCTGTGCCCCCTTCCAGCCCCAGCGAGATGTCGCCTGCTCCTTAAGGCCCTGTCAGGGGCCCCTTTCTCTGAGGCCCCCGCACATGGTCATGGTCAGGGGCAGCGCACTCTCGGCTGCCATTGCACCACCTCAGCCGTCAGGCCGCCCAGTGCCCGCCCGGTCCGGGACACCCTCCGTGAAGGATGCTGATGAGTGAGCGACACAGCCCCCAAAGGTCCTTAGGCTGCATGTGGAGTTTGTTCGTTGTCGGGTTGGTCTGGTGAGTGGTTTTCGTCACTGTTCTGTTTTGATGGGTGATGATTGCTGCTAAAAATCATTCCGACGAACCGGTGCGAGGGACCCAGGGCTCAGGCGGTGGCACCATCGCTCTTGGCTACGCGCTTGCTGAGTTCCTGGGGGAGGGAAGGGCGTTTGTCACTGAAGGGGCAGCCTGGTCGTCAGGTCCCTCCACAGACGAGGAAGGACGGTGTCGCAGGCTGGGATTCACCGCCATGGAAGGGTGACGTTGCCCTCGTCCATTGTGCCAGACGGCTCTCTTTCCAAATTGGGTGCAGATGTTTTGCGTCTTAGAAGTAGTCTTGGCTGCCCTGGCTGGTGTAGCTCAGTGGATTGAGCTCGAGCTTGTGACCAAAGAATCGCGGTTCGATTCCCAGTCAAAGCACATGCCTGGGTCTCAGGCCATTTCCCAGCAGGGGATGCATGAGAGGCAACCATACAATGATATTTCTCTCCCTCTCTCCTTCCCTTCCTCTCTAAAGGTCAATAAGTAAAATCTAAAAAAAAAACAAAACACAACCCACCAATTAAATTTAAAAAGCAGTAGTCTCGGCTGTCCTGTCTGCATTTTTCTGTCCTGCATATTCTTAGGAGGACGGTCCCTAACTCCGGCCCTGAGGGGTGTGCTGGCTGTCACCGGGGTCTTGTCTCTGTTCGTTCTCCCGCTACAAGACGGGGAGTCCTCTGAAGGCAGCGGCGCCCGTGTCTTTTATTCTGCGCTTCCAGTGCCTTGATCAGAGCCTGCCAGAGTAGGTGCTCGATTCACAGTCCCTGAGGGAAGGAGGGGGTGCGGTGCGGTCCCTCATCCCGGGCTCCAGGGGTCTGCACACTGAGAGCCTATAAACTGGGCAGGCTGTGGGCCACGGCTGAGTCACCCCAAAGGGTTTGAAATGTGCCCTTTGTGCCCCTGACCCCCCACGAAGCACGGACATTTTGGCTGTGATGTAAGTTGAAGTAGCCATCAGGTGCCCTCCCAGGTGTACACTCTGACGAAAAGCCGTGTGAGCTCATCAGAAACATTTCCCCTTTCCAGAAAGTACTCGGGTTCTGTGTCACTGGGTTGGTTTTGTCTGGGGGCGGAGGTCTGAGGTGGCATCTAGAAATCGGAGTTAACCGATCTTCCGTGCTGCTTCAGAGGGTTTTCCTCGTGGAGACGTGATCAGTTACTCGGAAGCCCAGGGACAGATCCAGACCGAAATAGGCGTCCTTTCTCTCCACACGGCCGTCTCTTACCGAGGGGCGGGTTGCCCGGTCCTCCAATCTACCCGTGGCCAACTGTGCTTGATGCCTGCTGGTTTTCAGTGCCTCACCCAGCACAGCACTGTTCTCAGAGTGGACATCTTGGGCTATTTCTCTGTCTCAAGAGGCTGAGAAGGATAAAACACACTAGTCTGAAAGGTAGTGGTTCCCCTGACATCGGGGAAGCTGTGAAGCAGCAGACAGGAAGTACCTTCCCACTTGAGCAGTGGGGGTTGAAGCTTGTAAAGCGCCCCACACACTTCCTCTGAAAGGACCCACACCCGGACTCACCTACTCAGACTCCCCCCTCTGAGCCCCAGTGCCGGGGCGGCAGCGTGAAGGGCACCAGTGGCGTACTGGGAGAGGCTGAGCGTCTGGCACTGGGGGGAGCCATTGTTCCTTTTCTGAGCTCTCCCTCCGCAGAGCCACTGAGACCACAGGCTGGTGCCATATCTGAGAGTCCATCAACCTGGCTAATACTGTTTGGCCCACCTTGGAGATCCCTAGAGACTCCACCCCACGCAACTTACATGCCCACTGAAGCTGCTTTTCCATATGAATAGCTGGTCCTGGCTCAGCTCATGCTGCACAACTTCCTAAACCCTCTCAAACAAGCAGCAGCCAGCCTCAGTGAGCCCCAGGCTGGGCACAAGCGGCAAACAGCCTAGACTCACAGCTGGGCTTCACTTGGGAATCCCCGAGCCCAGCACAACAGCAGCCGTCTCAGGCTGCTTTACAGCTCGGGCAGGGTGCTCTGGGGCAAAAGGCT